TTACACTATAGAAAAGTAATACTTACAAAATTTATTACTTTGATAAAATCCTCTGCCTAAATGCTAGGTCCTTCAAGAGTATATCTGATATCTGTGATGTCCTGAACTTTCTTGTTTTCTGTTATTTTCCATAACATGGTGTGATAACTAAATTAGCTTTGGGTTAAATCGGAAATAAAACAACTTGAACTTAAGATTTTAATTAATAAATTAGGGTTTCAGAAAAATGTCCCCTCTTCATGGATAAGAAGACTCAATATTGTGAAAAAGACAATCTTACCAAACCAATCTACATGTTAAATGCAATCTCAATACAGACACCAAGTTCTTTTTTCCAGGAGATGGAAAGGTAAATTGTTACATTTATTTGGAGAGGACACAGACCCCAAAGAAGTAAAGCATTTCTGAGAAACAAAAATGAAGTGGGAGACATAGCACTAGCACTCCCTGACCTCAAAACCTACTACACAGCTATAGTAACCAAGACATCATGGTACTGGTACAATAACAGACACACAGGTCAAAGGAACAGAATTGAGAAACCAGAAATGAACCCAGCTATCTACAATGCAGTCCATGGGCTTTGCAATTACTTGCTATGCATCAGAGAGCTACATAATGACTAAGTATGACAAAAAAGAATTGATGTCTTTAAGTTGTGGTGCTAGAGAAGTCTTGAACATACCATGGACTGCCAAGAAAACAAATAGGTCTGTCCTGGAGAGGATGAAACCAAGTTTCTCCTTGGAGGCTAGGCTTTTGAAGCTCTGTCTCACACACATGGGCACATGGCCAGGAAGGACCGATCCTTGGAAAAGGACATCCATGGAAGAGTGAAGGAAAAGCACAAGAGAGGAAGACCTTGAATGAGATGGATTGATAGAGTAACTATAGCAATGGGAGTAGGTGAGGAGTCAGTGACACTGACTCAGGACAGGGAAGGATTCATAACTGTTGTACATAGGGTTGCTGTGTGTCACAGGTGACTTGATGGCATATAACAATAAAATCTATGGTCAACTGATATTAAACAAGGAATTAAAATCTATCAAATGGGGAAATGACAGCCTCATCAACTGGACCTGTAGAAAACTAAAACAGGATACACAGGATGCACATCTCACGCTATACACAAAAATCAACTCAAGGTAGATCAGAGACCTGGGAGTAAAGCCCCAAACCATAAACTTCATCAGAGACGAACAGGAATCAAGCTTAGATGGCCTAGTCTATGGTATAAAGAGACTGCCAAATACAGCTAGAAATGCACAATTTGGACAGGATAAAATTGATGAATGGAACCTTCTAAAAAGTAAACCCCTGTGCATATCAAAAACTTTTTCCAACTTACTGAAAAGAAAACCTACTGATTGAGGGTAAAACATTTGACAATACCATTTCAAACAAGGGTCTCATATCAAAAGTTTACAGAATCCTACAGGACCTCCACAAGAGAAAGACAACACAATTACAAAATAGGGAAAAGACATGGAAAGACTTCACAGAGGAAGACATTTTGATAGCAAACAGACACACGATGAAATGCCCAAAATTGTTGGCAATAAGAGAGATGCATATCAAAACCACAATGAAATACCATCTCATCCCAGTTCCAGTGGCAAAGTTTAACAGGACAGCAAGAAATAAATGTTGGAGAGGATACGGTGAGATAGGGATCCTCATATACTGTTGTTGATTTGTAAAATGGTACAACCACTCTGGAAGGCAGTTTGGTGTTTCCTTAAAAAGCTGAACACAGAAATTACATACTGACCCATCTATCCCACTGCTTGGGATAATGAAAAGTGAGGTGCAAATGGATATTTACACTTTAATGTTCATAGCATCATTATTCACTATCCTAAGAACGTGGAAACAGTGCAAAGGTCCAACCACAATCAAATAGATTGAGAGATTATGGTACATTCACACAATAAAATACTATGCAGCACACAGGAGCAATGGTTTTTATAAATTACTACCTAACTTGGGAGGGACTAGAGAGCATAAAGTTAAGTGAACTAACACGGTCACATAAGGACAAATACTGTATAGATACATTATTGTAAAAATAGAGAACTAGTAAAGCATGCATGTATGAGGAGCTGAGGAGGAGGAGAGAATCAGAGGGGTGAGGAAAGGTAATCATAGATTCACACAATTTAATGGATGGAGGGAAGAGTGGGAAAAGGAATTGGGAAAGATCCAGCATGAGAAACAATATATACAAACTTTGTAATAAGATCAGTATAAAAGAAAAACTTTATTTAAAAAAATTAATACTAGGATATAAGAACACCAAGATTTGAGAAACTTCTTTGTGGCGACCTAGTATTAATTTTGAGTTGCCATCACAATTCTTCCTACCTTTAGCACTTCCTCCAACACAACTTCATTGCAGATGAAATATTTCCATTTTTTATTAGAATATCTTTATTCCTGTTTAGTTCTGTAAGGGTATTTGCTGTTTTATATCATTCCAGTGACATAATTATTGCTTCTAGAACTTTGAGAAATATTTCAATGTATTCTTGATTCTGTTTTTTGCATCAAAAGTCACTATTATTTTTTCAATAAATTTGGAGGGTTTTATTCTCTTAAAAAAATAGCTTTTGGTATAAGACTCTTGTCTGAGATAGTATTACCAAATGTTTATTCCCATTCTGTAGGTTTTCGTTTCACCTTGTTGGAAAAAGGTCTTGATTCACATATGAATTTAATCCTTAGAAGTTCCTATGCATCAATTTTATCCTCTTTAGATTGTGCATTCCTGATTGTATTTGGCAATCTCTTTATACTTTGGACAAGTGCATCTGTGCTTGATGCCAGAATACTCCTGGGCCTCCACAAGAAAAAGACTGATAACCCCGTTACAAAATGGGCAAAAGACATGGAAAGAATTTTCATAGATTATGATATTTGAATGTCAAACAGACACATGAAGAAATGCTCCAAATCGCTGGCAATAAGAGAGATGCAAATCAAAACACAATAATGTACCATCTCACTCCAGTAACAGTGGCAAAGTTTAAAAGGGCAGCAAGTAACAAATGTTGGAGAAGATGTGGAGAGAAAGGAACTCTTAGACATTGTTGGTGGGGTTGTAAAATGGTACAACCATCTGGAAGACAGTTTGGCACAAACAGTGGAACATTAAATAAAAACAAAGAATTTGCAAAACAATTCTTAATGTAGATGATTCTGGAGAATGTTATACTGCATGAAGTTAATCACAAAAGGACAAATAATTTTTGTTTCAGCATCATGAAAAATTTACAAATAGAACTATTTTTTTATAGTTACAAGGGATTGTAGTGGAGTAGGATGGAAGAAAAAAATCAGTAAGAAGATCATTAAGCTCAAAATTCACTGCCATCAAATCAGAACTGATTCATAGATGAACTTCTATTGGGTTTCTAAGGAAGAGATTATCTGTCTTTCTTGCAAGGAGGCAATGATGGATTCAAACTACCAGAGTGGAGGGGAATTTGGGTTAGCATTGCTATTCTCTATAGTAAATGAATGACACTAGCACTCTCTAACTAGATAATAGACACATATTAACATAGGTGGAAGGAAGGCATTATACAATAAAGATAATGAGAACCGTTATCACTTAAGAAAGGGAAGATATGATGGATAAAAGAGATTCAGAAAGCAAAGTGGAACACTGTTATGCACACAATTTTGCATCATCAATGACAACAAACACCAATCTACACGTGGATGCATAAACAGACAAGATGACTGGATTTGGGCAAGTAATAAAGATGATATATCAAGATCAAGCATAGGTTTGGTAGTTGATACTTCACCATGATTTATATATATTGTAAATATATCCATATTTATCCATATCCAAGATTCTCACCACTGGACCAATTGGCAGCATCAGGATGGATGGTGAAGAGACTGAGATTGTTCACAGCTTTAGTTTGCTTGACTCCACAGTCAACACTATTGGCACCAGTAGCCAGGAAATTAAAAGACGCATTGCCATGGGAAAGTCTGCTGTTAGGGACCTCTCCAAAGTTCTGAAGAGCAATGGTGTCTCTCTGGAGATTAAGGCGCATCTGATACAGGCCATGATCTTTGCTATCACTTGTTATACATCAGAGAGTTGGACAATGACTAAGGAGGATAGAAGGAGAATTGACGCCTTTGAGTTGTGGTGCTGGAGATGAGTATTGAGACTACCATAAACTGCTAGGAAAATAAACATTCATCCTGGAAAGGGTTAAACCAAGCAGCTCCCTGAAGGCAAGGATTCTGAGGCTCTGTCTAACATACTTTGGACATGTTGTAAGGAGGGACCGGTCCTTGGAGAAGGACATCATGCTTGGGAGGGTGGAGGGACAGCGTGGAAGGGGAAAGCCCTCTATGAGGAGGATTGATTCAGTGACTGGAGTAATCGGGATGGGTGTGTCGGAGACAGTGAGTTTGGCACGGGACAGAGCCGAGTTTAGGGCTGTTGTACATAGGGTCGCTATGAGTCACAAGTGACTCGATGGCACCTAACAACAACAGATACATCCATATAGTGGAATCTGTAAGAATGAAGGAGTTGCTATCCTAAAACCTCAATACCATGGTCTCAGGGTATATCAAGATCAATTGACATAATACAGTCCATAAAGACAATGTTATACATTCTAATTTGGTGACTAATAATCTGAATCTTAAAAATTGTGAGTAGTATAAATGGTTGATTGATTGTTATTGTTACTGTTAAGTGCTTTCGAGTTGTAGATGACTCATAGCGACCCTATGAACAAAAGATCTGAACCCTTGTATAATTTTCATCATTTCTCCAAGTTCATAGGGTTTCCAGAGGCAAGCTATTTCGGAAGTGGATGTCATTCCTGCTTCCAACCTTGTGTTAATCAGGAGCTTCACCAAACACTGTCCACCATAGGTAAAAATTATCACATTTGACACATCAGTGTCACAGTGTTTAGCATCACAGCAATCATGAGTTACCTCTGTACAGCAAAAGGACTGACCAATGCTATGCCACCTAGAAGAATGTTTGACCAAAAGCAATAAAAACTAGGCCTGAGGCCCACAGATTAAAATCACCGACGTTTGGCTTGATAGTGTCACTTTCTATCCAGTAGGCCAACAGAACTCTATGTTGTTGTTCTTGTTAAGTGCCATCAAGTCATAGATGACTCATAGCGACACTGTGAATGAAAGACCTAAACATGTGTATAACATTTATCATTTCTCCATGTTCATAGAGTTTCTGGAGGCAAGCTATTTCGGAATATTTTAATTAATTGCATTAATGGAAAATAGTATCATAAAACAAAAAAATCCATGAGTAATTGGGAAAGAACAATATGATTTGTAAACTTTTACTCAAAAATAAAAAATAAACTTTTAAAAAGTTTGTAAGCATTTTTTCAAATGTTTTTATTTTCTATTTGTATACAAAATTCACATTGTGTTTCATTCATGTGTATTGTGTTTCACACAGTGAGTACGGAAAAATCAATTGTAAATCATGTGCAAATAATTATCCAGCCAACCTTCTGTGCAATTGTACATGCCAATAACAGTAAAAAGTTTTAACTAATTCTGTCATTTAAAATTTTTACATTTATTCCATATTTTGTTCATAGGTCCTTGATGACAACTCTGAGAAAGCTGTAAGCACAAAGAATTAAATGTGGGTGTTTGTTCAACAGATTTTAACCTCCATTGCAACACTGTGATCAATTAAACCTGTATCTGAAAGCAATGGGAGGGGGAGGTTATAAACAGCTCTCAAAGGTGTTTCTAAGGTGGTTGGTCTCTACTTGTCTTGGGGGGTGGGGGGGAAGATGAGAATAGAATTTTTTTTTAAATAGAAATAGTTCAAATAAAGGATCACGCAAATCTCAACCTCCATGAACCTATGACGTGAAGAACTAGACGATGCCTATACAGGATTGTTGTTGTTGTTGTTGTTATTGTTATTGTTAGGTGCCTTCGAGTCACCTACAACTTAGAGCAACCCTCTGTACAATAGCTCTGAACCCTGCCCTATCCTGAGCCAGACTCATTGACTCTGACACGCCTACCCCCATTATCCTAGTTACTGTATCAATCGATCTCATCAGGGGCCTTCCTCTCCTACACTGTCCCTCCTCCTTTCCAAGCATGATGTCCTCCTTCAAGGACCCGTCCTTCCTGGCCGGTGGCCAAAGTATGTGAGACAGAGCTTTAAAATCCTAGCTTCCAAGGAGACATTTGTTTCACTCTCTCCAAGACAGATTTGTTTGTTTTCTTGGTGGTCCATGTGTGTTCAATATTCTTCTCTAGCACCACAACTCAAAGACATAGATTCTTCTCCTACCATCCTTAGCCATTGTCCACCTCTCTGATGCATAACAAGTAACTGAGAAGACCATGGCCTGTATCAGGCGCATCATAGTCTATAGACTGACATCTTTGCTTCTCAGGATAGCCTACATGAAAAAGAAGTAATTCACCAATAGTCGGATTTTTTTCCCTAGTATTTCCTATGTACAATTTTTTGAAGTAAAATTATTGTATCGAATAGTAAAGCATATGAAGAATTATTATATATATTACCATTACATTCAAAATGAATATTCCAATTTATTCTCTCACTGGTACAAAATATGTGTTGAGGCTGAATATGTATGTTGAGTTGTTGTTATGTGCCATCAGGTTGCTTGTGACCCATAGTGACCCTATGTACAACAGCTCTAAACTCTGCTCTGTACTGTGCCAATCTCATTGTCTCCGACACACCCATCCTGATTACCTCAGTCACTGAATCAATCCACCTCATAGAGGGCCTTCCCCTCCCGTGCTGTCCCTCCACCTTCTCAAGCATGATGACCTTCTCGAAGGACCGGTCTCTCCTTACAACATGACCAAAGTATGTCAGACGAAGCCTCAGATTCCTTGCCTCCGAGAAGCAGCCTGGTTTAATCCTCTCCAGGATGAATCTGCCTGTTTTCTTAGCAGTCCATGGTACCCTCAATACTCTTCTCCAACACCAAAGCTCAAAGGCATCAATTCTCCTTCTATCCTCCCTGGTCATTGTCCAGCTTTCTGATGCATAAGTGATTGCAAAGATCATGGCCTGTACCAGACGCACCTCAGTCTCCAGAGACATGCCATTGCTCTTCAGTAGTTTAGAAAGGTCCCTAACAGCAGACTTTCCCATGGCAATGCATCTTTTAATTTCCTGGCTGCTGGTGCCAAGAGTGTTGACCGTGGAGCCAAGCAAACTGAAGCTGTGAACAATCTCAATCTCTTCACCATCCATCCTGATGTTGCCAATTGGTCCAGTGGTGAGAATCTTTGTCTTCTTGATATTGAGCCTCAATCCATATTGAAGGCTGTAGTTCTTGACCCCCAGCAGCAAGCGCTTCAGGTCCTCCTCAGTTTCACCAAGCAGAGTTGTGTCATCTGCATAATGCAGATTGTTGATAGATCTTCCACCAATCCTGATGCCACATTTCTCCTCATAGAGCCCAGCCTCCTGGATAATCTGTTCTGCATACAGGTTGAAAGGTATGGAGATAGGACACATCCCTGGCATGTGCCCTTCCCAATTTTGAACCATGCAGTGTTTCCTTGCTCTGTTCTGACGACTGCCTCTTGGTTCAAGTATAAATTTCTCATTAGCACGATCAAGTGTTCTGGGATTCCCATTCTTCTCAGAGTCAGCCACAGTTTGTTATGGTCTACACAGTCAAATGCCTTTGCATAATCAATGAAGGACAGATAGACAATCCTCTGGTATTTCCTACTTTCAGCCAAGCCAAGATCCATCTAACATTAGCACTATATATATATATATAATAAGAATGTATGTATATTGAAAGAATATATATAAGATATGTAAATAATCATTTAGTAAACAAAAACATGCATTCTCATATTTTAATATAATTCTTTGCTAGTGAGGATTGATATTTTTAAAATTTCCTAAGTCTTCTACAAACTTATTTATAGAAAATTTACATTTTTCATTTGATTCACCCAATTAACAGTGTGGTAATTTTTTTTATTTTTATTTTATTATTTTTGTATGAGTGTACCGTCAAATCAGATCTGACTGGTACAGGAGGAGATTGTCCCTCCTTCCCTGGCAGAGCATCTGGTGGATTCGAACCGTGTGCCTCTGGGATTGTAGTTGCAGCTCCTTGCCACTAGGCCACCAGAGCTCCCCTACAGTGCGGCAAATATTTTAAGTTATTTTTCTCAACACCTACTCTAATTCCTTTCTCATTTCTGTAGGAAAAAAAAATCGTATAACTGAAATTCCTCTTCCTATACTCTCTCCTATGTAGAGATGGTCATGTCATACAATTCAGGTTAGTGAGATATAAGTAGAAGCTTCTTGGTGTAGTATCTTCTGCTTTGTTCTTCCAATGTGGGTCATGCTTGGAGAAGAATATTAATAAGAGTCGCAGAGCAGCAGTGAAAACAAAGTATGGACTCTCAATGACATATCATAATTAGATATCCTGGAAATTGACACCTTCTTGCTCTTACCACAAAGAGGACTTTTCTCATAGCAATGTCAATATGTTTACGATCCTTTTGGGGATTCCTAGTATAGTTTTTAAATTGAAAATCTACTAGTCTTTGAAGTTTGACTTTAACTGTGTTTTTCATATACAATTCCCAAGAATCTATTGATAAATAGTGTGCAACTTCCTTAAGGATCCATGACCTTAGGGACTTTGAGAATGGCTTGAAAACATAATTAAATTATTATGTATATGAAAGCATGTATGTGGAAAAATGGTAAAGCTTTCATCAGGTTCTCCATAAGATCAGTTACCAAGATGTAGTAAGATATTATCTAATTAACATGATATTTGCTTCTTTAAAATACTTAATATATCTTAATGAATAAAATAAATATGTATACATCAATACATTTTCAACAGGCCACATTCTGATTTGAGATAATAATAAAATATGTGCTACTATCTCATTTTAAGGTATTTTCCAATATAGAGATAATTATACAAGGTCTAGCACATTTTCTTATTTTAATCATAATTTATCCCTCTACTCTTCACAAAACTCAGAAGAAGTTTTATTTCACCAAGATCTCTTCTATTCAGCAATGACTTTTTAACTTTTACACAGAACTTTTCTCAGTGCAATTTTCATTTCTTTATTTCTGAGGCTGTAGATCAGAGGGTTTAAAAGTGGAGTGACAATTGAGTAGAACATAGTTACAAACTTCTTCATTCCAGGCCGGTTGGCTGCCCCTGGGGTTACATACATCACAATGATGGAGCCATAAAATAAAGACACCACTACCAGGTGGGAAGCACATGTGGAGAAGGCCTTCTTCCTTCCTGAACCTTTGGGAACCTGAAGTACAGCTCGAAGGACCAGAGTATAGGACACAAGAATGAAGAACAAAGTGACAAACATGATCACAGCACTGAAAGTGCTACATGTCAAAGTTGTTTTGGGGACAGGGACACAAGATATAGCCAGCAATGCCCCTAGATCACACAGGTAGTGATCAATGATATTTGAACCACAAAATGGAACTTGAGAGATAAGAGTGACCGGAGTCAGTAACCAGAGGAAGCCACCAACCCAACAGGCAGACACAAGACTACCATAGACTCTCCTGGTCATTATTACAGGATACTGGAGTGGACAGCAGATGGCAACATACCTATCAAAGGCCATGAGGCTCAGGAAGAACAGCTCTGTAGCACAAAGAGAGAGGAAGACATAGAACTGAAGGATGCAGCCGTTATAGGAGATAGTCTTGGTCTTGGAGAGAAAGTTGCAAAGCATGTTGGGCACATTAGAACTGATGTAGCAGATCTCCAGAAAAGAGAAATTGGCCAGTAAGATATACATGGGGGTTTGGAGTTTCTGGTCCCACCAAACAGCACATATAATAGCCCCATTGCCCAATAGGGTCAATATGTAGATGATGGAAAATAAAATAAAAAGAATTATTTCTGTATCTCGGCTGCACAGGAAACCCAAGAGGATGAATTCATGAATGGAAGTAGTGACATTAATGATATAAGGAATATGCATTTCTTTCTAACCAGTAATGAACACAGACATAATCAGTACTGTATGTTGTTGCCTGTTTTATTCTGTTCTCCTTAACACCTCCATTCCTCATTGGGAATAGGTGGAATAAGTAGAAGATATAGTGAATTATCAATAGTTATTATATAGAATTGTTGTCAAAATAGTACATGTGGAAGTTGAGCAGGAAAATATTGAACATTTTATTTTAAATATTATCCTCAGAGTTTGCTCTTATTGTAGTTCATATTTTATTCTGAAAGGAAAAAAAGAAAGATGAGTCATTAATTACCTTGTCTTTATTTAATATAACGTAGTGAACCTTAAGGAATGTAACCTTGTATTACTGTATAATCTTAATTAATACATTCATTCATTTGCATTAAAAACTCACACATTTAGATTATTCTTGTACAAGAAAGATAACTGTCTTTTAAGAATTATTATTATTATGGTGTTTTAGTCCACAGGGAATTGTGCTGGTAACCCAAAGGGGGTGTTTCACTGACAGTTCAAATCTGAGGGAAGGTGATGGGCCATCTCCTTCCTGGTAATTTACAGTATCAGAAAACCTATTGGTGAATCAGTTATGAGAAAGTTCCAACTCCACAGCAATGAATGAGTGACATAATACAGTATACATACTGGACAAGATTGTGCTCAAAGAAAATTGTTTCAAAAACTATGGGTTAAAGAAAAGCACAAAACTATGGGTCAACAGCAATTAAATAAATACATTGTTACTGAATTAGAAGCAAAAGGCTATGAAGTGAAAGACAGCTCATACAGAAATACACATCAACTCATTAAGTCCCAGTTTAAATTAAGAAATGTGTCATTTGTTTGAGAAATATTTTAACTGATATGTTCTAAAATCTACCAAAAGTATCCTCTTAGAATTCTACATTTACGTTTACTATAACTTTTCAATCTCACTGGTCCCGTGTGTGGTTTAATTTTAAAAAACATGATTTCATATACTTTAGTTTTTTAATTAGAATGCATTTTCAAACCTATCAACTCTCCTTTCCTAAGTTTTTTTCCCCCACTTAATTCTAATTTCAAATATACAGTTTGGGAGAAATATAAAGAGGTAGAAATCAGTGTTTTCTAAATAAAGAGTGAAATGATTTTTAAGAATGCAAGATTAGATTTCAGAAACAGCTAAATTAAAACCTTTATTGTGTTATGTACAGTCAGCTTGGCTTCAATTCACAGTGTTCTGTTGGGAGAAAACAAAATCCTACCCAGTTCTGTGCCGTCCTTGCAGTCTCCACTGTGCTTAAGCTGAAACCCTATCTAAGTTAAAGTCAAGCTTTGCAACCTGGGCTTTCTTCTTTCTTAGTTTCACTCTTCTTACATGTAAAATCAAGGTAATGATAACACTTACATTGTGGAGTTAATAAAGTGTTAAATATGACCATATTGCTAGAGAGCCTGACATCATATTCATCATAACACAAATGTTTGGGGAACATGGGCTAGTTTAAACACCACTATTGCCATAAGCAAACTATACGCCAATTCATCTCAAAAAAACATTTGTTTGAACTGAAAGGAGCATGTAAGGGCTTCCAGATAAATTCTTGAATCTGTATATTTTATCTCATGAGTAACATTCATTCAGTGTACAATATTTTAATAATTTTCTTTTGTTAAAAAGTATTTAACCTTAAGACTAGATCTGAATGGTGTCCAGCTATCACTACAGAACATTTTTATCACATATAGTATAGAAGAATCCTAATAAAAAGTAAGAAAGTACAGAAGAGAGTTCAAATTCTCACAGACTACAAGCTTTCTAGAGTCATACAGGTCAAATGAATTATTAAACACTCTTGTCTTAAGATAACCTTTAAACTTTGAACTAAGAGGATTCCTTAGAGTCTTCTTAAAAATCATCTGTAGTTTATCCTTAATTAGCACAAATGTCTGCCTTGGTCATTATACTTTATTAAGAATTGACAATTAGCGATTAAAAACCTGAGGGGCTTCCCAGACAACAATTTAAAAGAAATGTCACTAACTTTTACTCTCCTTAAAAATGTTTAATGAGGCAAATATCCTACCAGAAAACTAAGAAGAAATTGACAGTTAGGAGGCTTTGGTGGTCTAATTGTGGTTTTTGTTTTGTTTATTTATTTATTTTTGGTGGCCTAATTTTAAGGAATTGCCCTGTCAACCTCTGTTCGAATCCACCAGCTGCTCTACTGGAGAAAGGTGGGCAATCTTCCTCTGGAAGGTCAGCTGTGGATTAGTTCAGACCTAACACACAACATACAATAGCAATAGTATGGGATCAAATTAGTGATAATAATTGGAAAAAATGTGTTACAGGGAAGGAAAAAGTCAGAAAGTTAGTGTGAAAATGGTTGCACAACTTGAAGAACATAATCAGTGTCACTGAGTTGTACAGGTACAATAGTTTAATTTGTGTATATGTTGTTGCGTATATTCTCAACAATTAAACAAATCATTGTTAATGTCCTAGAAATTGGAATATGTTCTGCAATTAAAGAGGTACACGGTTCAAATCCACCAGATGCTCTGCTGGAGAAGGAGGGGCAAACTCCTCCTGTGCCAGTCAGATCCGATTTGACTGTACACACACACAAAATAAAAAATTTTTAAAAAGCAAATTGGAACATGTTCTAAAAAATTTCATGGTATGGATCAAAGAATAAATCTCTGAAATAAAAATATTTATTTATTTATTATTCATTTATTTATAGCACCTCCCCCATAAGCCTGCAAGGAGGACTGGAAATTTTTTACATGTTCCCCATCTTCCTTACATATATGTACATAATCCGCTCTCTATACATAAAGTCTTATATAAGTACATTTAATGGAATACTTTCCCAAGAAATATTATTAAATTATAATGTTATCAACTGATATTGATAAAAATCTTAGAATTGGTAAAATATCATTTTATTCATTATTATTATTGTCGTTGATGTTGTTATGTACCATTGAGTCCCCAGTGACTCATAGAGATCCTATATACAGTAGCTCTGAACCCTGCCCTATCTTGAGCCAGTCTCACTGACTCTGACACACCTAATCCTAATTATTGTGTCACTCCATCTCATCCAAAGTCTTCCTCTCCTGTGCTGTAATCCTTTGCATTATTAAACTATTTATGGAAAAACAAATAAATCACAATAAAGTCTATAAAACAGGTGAAAGTCTTAAATATTTTTACAGGTAATTTTAAAATAAATTTGTAGAAATAGCATAAAATTATCCAAGGGATTAAAAATAGCTTTTATAAGCATAGTCATGATATATTTATGGAAATAAAAAATTAGCAAGTGTTGTGCATAGTATGACTCATTTAAAAATAAAATAGTATTTGAATTTTTGCTCTTAGCATCTCTGTCATTATTAATAATTATTTCTTTTTCATTCACAAGCATTTGTGTTATGTGCCTATAAGATGTTCAACATAAATTTATTAAACTAATAATTATTTAAATGTTAGGATAAATTAATAAAGGTGAAATTATTTAAAATTTAAAAAAACAATATTGCTAACTTTCCTGCAGAAACTAAATGGACAATAAAATTGTTTCAATTATTACTTACTCTTTGATTTGGGTGTTTACTCACATTCTAAGATAGCATCCCCTTTCTCATATTCTTAACTAATTTGCTTCTATTTTCTTTCCGTTCCTTCCAAACAGTGTTTCAGCTACTTGACTAAATATCCCTTTGTGGGTTTCTCAAATGTAACTACTATTGGGAAAATTATTTGGGGCGTGGAGAGGAAGTCCTTTTCAGTTAAAATTTATGTCGCAAGACACGTACATCTTAGATATGTTCAATCTTGTAGAAGGAAAATAAAATTATATCACTTTAATCTGGTTTTTAAAAAAAGTTGAGAAAAAATAGTTAGGATGTCAAAATTTAGAAATATTTAGAGCTCAGTTCTGCCTGTTTTCAAAGTCCAAAAGCTTTCCCTTTCTCACCCTACAATGAATAAGGAACCTAGTAATTTGGAACTCCTTCCCTACTTTGATCTCTCTTCAGCATACACTTGGATGAATACATTTAAACAAAGTGGAAAATGAAAAAGACTTGGTAATACATAATCCAAAGACTTGACCACCAAAGTGATACACAAGTAAAGGCAACAAGGGGAATTTGGAGGATGAAAAGTAATTTGAGTATGGTTAAAAAATTCTGATAACCAAGTGGGTAAGGAGTTTCACTACCTACCCATAAGCTGCACTGTGGGGAAAAGATGGACAATCTCCTCTCATGCAATTCAGAGCCTTTGAAAAGCTACTAAGGAATCCACAATGATTTGATTCCAACGTGAAGGTAATGAGCTCATTCGGGGCCATGGTTAAGCTCTCCATAACTAAGTGCAAGTTGGAACTGGAACCCACTAGCCACTCAGCAGTATAAAAACCATGTGCTCTGCTCGCTTAAAGATTATAACCTTCGAAATCCTATTGTGCAGTTCTTATTTATCAAATAGCGTTGAGTCAGAATTAACTTAGCAACACATAACAATAACACACAGGGAGCTCTGGAAGCCTAGTGGCAAAAAGCTGCACTGCAATCCCAGAGGTGTGCTGTTTGAATCCACCAGATGCTCTGCTGGGGAAGGAGGAGCAATGTCCTCCTCCTGTACCAGTCAGATCTGATTTGACGGTACACACACACAAAATAATAAAATAAATTTTAAAATTTAAAAAAAAACAATAACACAGGCTGGGGACCATGAAACAGAAAGGTATCAAGTGAAAATTTTACTTGTGGAAAAATAAATAATAGTAAAGGGTATATTAATATTGGAAAATTTGTTCTTGAATTTTCATAATACAAACTATTGAAACTGCTATATGCATTTTAAAGAGAGAAAACTGAAGTTTTGACATATATAGAGCACTTTGCAATTATTAAATTCTTCGCATGTCACAAATTTTTCAAACTATCAATATTTATCTTATTATTATTATTTTATCAAAGAACAAACTCATAGAGCTGAT